TTCTTCACGATTTCTCGATTTAAAACCATCTTTGTTCTATATGAAAGTGTGTATTTAGTGTACAGGGTGTCTCAAATTCGGTTGTTCGTTTCGGTTTTTTTGTCCATCCTCAACTTATTTTTTTTCAAGACGCACCCGCATTTTTTATTTAAGATTTCCAAAGAGTTCGTCATTCTGAAAAAATACATGTATCGCACTTGATAATCTACTAAGTAATACCGTTCTAAAATTGACAATAAAACCAAATTTACACAAAAAAGTAAAGTGGTGATGAAAGTTGTTAATTATTAAAGTACTGTTACTTTTTGTTGTTTTCAAATGTCGAAAAACTCGGTATGTTACGTATTTATTACAATTCACTCCGAAATTCTGCAGAATTCCTAATGAGGAAGATAATTTTATAAATATAGTAAGATTTTAAATCTCTATTTGTTTTTTGTTAATTTTGTTAATAAATTTAAGTTAATAATACACCTCGAGGATCAATCAGACATTTTGAAAATGGGAACATGGAGGATATTACATCATCCCTACAAAATCCACTTTAGTCAAAGACTTAGATCAGATGGGGAAATTAGGCTGCTAGAATTATGTACTTCGCTCCAAAATCAGCTTGAAGCATGACTTTTTATTAAAAAGAATTTGTACCGTAGTTGTACAACTCACGGTTTATTTAAGATTGATAATGAACATTACTGGTCAATAGAGAATCTGCGGCAACATCAAATAGTAAGAGCACAGGGGCGAGAGTATTTTAATGTTTGGGTAGACTTGTGGAATAATAAAATTAATGGCCCAATATGAAGGTAGCTTAACGCCCTAAAAACAACAATTGATATTAAATAATATTTCCTATCAGTTGGATGAAGAATCATTAAATATGGTGACACCAAGACCTCCTTATAATAGAGGACAAATAACACCTTAAATACATTATTTCAAAATAAGTGGATAGAAAATCGTGGACCTATACGATGGCTTGCCAGAAGTCCAGATATAAGTCAACTGGATTACTTCTTATGGAGGTAAAAAAATCGTTTATATCGTGACTCAATTTAATTTGGGAAAAAAGAGCTATTCCTGGTCGGTTCATTCAAAGTGCACTATTAAAATTGCTAAGGCTTATAGCAAAATGCATTGAAGCAGATGGCTTTCAATTTGCGCATCTTACATAGTTCGAGGTTGTATTATTATCCACTTTACAGGATAAAAGGAATGTTAGATTTTCAATACTAATCTAATAAGTGTGTTCTTTTCAGGTTCTCAGTGTTTTCCTTGTTGACTTGCGGTTATAAAATAGCTTTTGCTACTGTAATAATGAATTATCGAAGTAAATTGTAACAGAACTAATATTTACATCAAAATACATCATCAAAACAGTTTGACATGTGTCATGACCACATTACTGTTTGTGTAAATTTGCCTTTACTGTCAGTTTTGGGGCGTTATCGTTTAACAAATTATTAAGTGTAATACATGATTTTTTTTCAGAATGCCAAGCTGATTTAAAATATTAAATAAAATATACAGCTCCGTATTAAAAAAAATAAAACTTGAAGGACACACAAATCCTAAACGCACACACACTTAAAACTTAATAATGTCAACTTGCAGGGAAGAAAAAGCTGCAATGAGATAGTGTCATTTGTTTTCAGTTTTTTAAAAATTAAAGTCATGAAAAAATTTAATAGAAATTGCTGATTTTCGTTTTTTTTTCCGAATATCTCCGAAACTAATAACAATTTTTGATTAAATAAAGCTCTAAAATAGGCAACTTCGGCTCTACTTATCCGATTTCGTATCTCTTACATTTTCCGACATCCGAGAATTTGGGACAACCTGTATTGTGGTTTTCTTTTTTGACAAAAAAATAACCAAATTTATTTGTTTAAAAAAAAACATTTGTGCAGCGGACTGTTTGTTTGGGCGCATATTTGGTTGGGTTTACTTCAATCAAAAATATAAAATTGAACTATCCGATTTTCGAGTACCAGTACTAACTTCATGTTGCGCCCGATTTTGATTGTATTTTATCTCATATATTTTTTCTCCTAAAACTATTACCATATTGCCAAATAAATCTTGGAAGGCCTTATTTTAAGCTTATGAAATAAGCTTCACAAATTTAGTTTTCGTTTTGTTTTTTTGTTTTCGAACTATACCGAAACGGTAACAAATATTTCAAATTTTTGTTAATAAAATGTGTGATTTTGCTCTTATCATTTGAACTACGCGATTACCATCTCCGAGGTCCTAACGGAGTATCTTGAGTTTGTAACATAATGTATATGAATTTTGATAGTTATTGTAGATATCATTTTTTAAGGTGGAAGATGAGTTATGTTTTTTTTCCAGATACCTACAGGATAACAGAATAAGTACAAGCCATAATTTATTTAATTTTAACAATGATAATTCTAGCATAATTTTTTTTTCTCAACAATATCAAATTAAATAATGAAAATAGGATCGAAGCATGCGTTCATGCTTAATAGTATATTATGTAACAAGTGCGGTAAACGGCATCTGACTCACGAGTTTATTTGACACGAGCGGAGAATTATGTTCAAGCGAAAACGAGATGACTTTTTAAAAACTTTATGTTCAAAATACAATCGAAAATTAAGAGTTTCTGCAGCAGCAGTTACAACAAGAATAATGCATATTTGTTTGCTCCGGCTGATTTATTGGGTTCGGATTGATTATGTTGACATTTCGGTAGAAGTTTCTTTCTAAAAACGATCATTAGGGCTGCAATGACCGCTAGAAAAAATATAATAACAATAATATTAGTTATTAAACTTATATACATAGGCTGGCCAATTTCTTCAATCGGTTGTAGTTCATTTGATATCTGATTTAATTGATATAGGTGTTGCAAGTTAATTTGACTGATGTTCGCTAATCTATGTGACGTAATTGGTTTTAATTTTATAGGTTGTTTGATTTTTGAGAGTAGTTTTCTTAAATTTAGGCAAAGCTTTATTACGTAACTTAGTACGAATGTAGGCCGGTTCGTCAATATCGAAATTCAGGGGGTCCTCGCGTTCTTTGTTTCTTTTATCAATTATTTTTTCTTTTGCTTTTTGATTATTTTCCGAAATTAATTGGTAAACCTTTTTCGAACTCTGTGTTTTTGAACATAATCCAAAATTATCACGTGGTCACTAATGTAAAAAGGATTTGTGTCATTTATATGACCATTAATTATTTCAAAAGGCGTAAATTTCGTGACACTGTGTATGGAGTTATTATATCCTAATAAACCGCGTTTCACGATTTGTTCCGGGTTGTATTGTTTATGTTCCTCTTTAAGACATCGATATGCTTCAATTATGTTCAAGCGAAGACGAGATGACTTTTTAAAAACTTTATTTTCAAAATACAATTGAAAATTAAGAGTTTCTGCAGCAGCAGTTACAACAAGAATAATCATATTACTTAAAACTAAGACTTTATAGGTTCGTATACACAATGTGAATCTCACTGTCTCTTCATAGTACCATCGTGGCCAAATGCTGACATCGTAGATCTCACGGTGTCCTATCCTTATTACGTAGAAATCATTGTACATAACTGGAGCGAGTTTTTAATAAAGGAGTGAGTTAAAAAGTTTACCGAACATGTTGCATACCAAACTTTTTCTACGACTGTTAGTTTTTAAGTATATTTTCGCAAAACAACACGAATACATTCACTGACATGACCGTCAGAATTGACAAACGTCAAAATTCAATGCGTGCGGTAATACCTTCGAAAACATCCGATTGTTCCCAAATCCGTGCGGTAAAATCCCGGGAAGGTCCGAAGTGGCTCGGATTCATGGGAAACGAAACTGACGTGGTAAAGTGACGCTTCCCGCACGCTAGATCGGTGGGTAATTAGATATTTTACAGACGGGAGTAGAAAAAGAAATTAGTACCGAGGCTAGCATTACCGAACAGAATGAAAAGATGGAAAAATATTAGTATAATTAAACATGTCAATTTTAAAAAACAAATTAACCATGTTCAAAGATAAGCCCTTAATGGAGCAGAATATTATTGTTTAATAACAATAATTATGGAGTAAGCCCGGATGTATTCTCGCATTGTGGAATCACGGGTTAGTTGCAGCAACGTCCGCTGTATTATAAAAAAAACACCTATCCTGTTTAATTTTCGTCGGGCGGTTCGAAGCAGTAAATTTTCCTATGTTTAAACAACGCAAATATTAACTTTGACTGGGTATGTAGAGCAAATTTGTCCGAACTGGAACAAACACTGGAAAAGTTATTTATAAACACTGGGTGTTTTCTCTATGATAAAAATCCTCTGCGTTAGCGTTAGGGTGTAATCTGATAAAGCAAAATACCAAAAAATATGTTTAACCGGGTTTAGAGTTTATCGGGCCTACTTTACACCCAAGCGATCTAGCATATTCTCATGTTTTGTTTAGCGGCCATTCTTCTTTTATAGAAAAAAGAATCTGTTGTATAAAATGATAAGCAAAAGTATTAACAACAGATAGAAAAATATCAAAATAAATAAGAACTAAAAGTTCAGATTTTCACGAAATTATATATTGACATGACAATTGTTTCGACAACACCGTGTCTTTATCACATTTGATAAAGACACGGTGTTTTCGAAACAATTGTCATGTCATAATATATAATTTCGTGAAAATCTGATCTTTTAGTTCTTAGTTATTTTGATAAATGGATTTTCATCAAGTAAAAGCCACCTCAGTTCAATGATAGAAAAATAGGTAGACTATGAAAACACTAAACTTAATACGTTTCCGACAAAAAAAAATCAAACCTTTTACCGTAAGCAGAGAGGTGAGTTTTTTTGTATATAAATTTACAAGAAGTGAGACAAACGTATCGTAGTTAGTAGATTATTGTCAAAATTCTTTTACATTTTAGTTTCGATGGTGGAAATCATTTGAACATATATTTTTACCTAAGCAAAGTTGCCTAAACGTTTGAGCATCTAACCATAAATTAACAATAAACACACACAACATTTTTATTTATTGTAATAAAACATCTTACTATAACAAGTATAAATCTTAACATTTAACAATACATATTACATAGCAAAATATTTAAATAATTATCAATCAAAAGAAAAAACGCTAAATCTACGCTACAACGTATAGTAATTTTTAACATGTGCATAGTTAATCGTGCATGTGGAAATGTACTTAAATGCGTAAAATCTTACAAAAACAATTCGGGTCACTTCCAATGTTATTATTGTCAATAAGAAAACAAAAAATAAAAACAACTCAAGCGTAGTACCAGATTTCCCAGCAGCAATTAACCGTTAATCGTTGCATTATGGAGACCTACAGCATTAAATATTGTTGCGAAACGTAGTATAATTAATTGATACTCTCATTAAAGCTGCAATGATAAATTCCCATTCGTTTCGTGCATCGGCGACATAAAACACGAAAAAGGCATAACAAAAACTGTGGTTTCAGTTATCGATTTTTTCGCGGCATAAACATGAAACCAAAACAACAGCCTATTTATAATTCCTTGCGTAATCACGCCGGTTGATGCTGCCGCCATAATTGTACGGAAAAACTATTGTTCGAATTAAATTATAATTCCGTTTGCGTGTCTGGTACACTTTTCAAGGTAGCGCCGAAATCCACCTTGGACGTAACTTCAATCATATTTAGAATTCGTGACCGCAATGACAATTAACTTGATTTAGGTGTACATGTGTCTTCTGTATTGATTTCTTATCGAGCTGCTCAGACACAATCCGAAAACAGCGCCAATGATTTCGGCCGCAGCTATTCCTATCGCCACCCCCCCTATAATTTGTGACTTGTTGACAACGAAACTGTACAATTTGTCGGAGCATCCTTCGGGGAAAGCGGGATTATTTGTAGAGGGACACCCGTCAATGGTGTCGGTGGCGCAGCAACTCTTTGGTTTTTGACCGTAGTATTCATCTGGTCCTTCAACTCCGCAGCATTTTAACCACCTCTGCACGACATCCCTGGCTTCTCTTGCTTCTTTGTGATTACCGTTCGCCTCGTCGAAAGTTTTCTGAATCTGCTGCTTGAGGGTATATCTGAATTGGTGTTCATTTTGGATCTGCAAAAACGCGTACACCCCAATCGCAATTTGAATAATGAAAATCGTCAGCAGAACGATGGCGTAGGTCGTCAGCATGCACGGACTCTCCTTAACCGCACCACAACAGCCTAAAAACGCGGTTATGAAAATGATGGCCCCTATTACAATGGACAAAATCGGGGCGAGTCCGAAATCCGTAGGCAAGACGCGGGTCGCGTCAGTGATATTCAGCTTAAACAGGATTCCTATTATTACCAACGCCAAGCCAGCGAGAGCAAACACCAAATTCGCCAAAAACACCAGATATTTCACTATTCCCGTGGCACAACCCATCTTCACAATACGCACTAAACAAAGTCAAAATAACTTATGAGTAACTGACAAAGAGTAGGTGTAACTTAACCTAAATATGCGCACTGTAAATATTCTCTAAACACACTCATTTAACTCGCTGCACGGGCGTCTGCTAACAAAACGTAGCAGCGTAGTTGCCAAATCTCCTCAAAGTTTCCACGCTCGTTCTAGTTACACAAGGTCGACAATAACTTGTGAACAAGAAGAATAGCAAATTCAGCACAAACAAGAAAATACGCAGTTAGATGTTGTTTTGATCAATTGTTAGAAAAATCTTTTATCAATTATTAAGTCGTAAAATTAAAAAAAAATCATGACCGAATAGTAACTTCACACTTCTAAGACAAAATACAAGGAGTAGCTTTTAAATTATTAAGTAATAAAATAATTATTAAACCAAATAAATGCTAGCAAAACGAAATCAACTCAATAATATTAATAAACGCCTTAAACATACGAAAAGCGAACTGTTATAATATTTTTAAGTGGAATTCAAACTCCCACTTCGCGTAGAGAATATGTCACTCCTCTGCTTCCCATAGTGACGCTAATGTTTATTATCGTAATTGTGGAACAGATCCTTATTTCAAGAAAATTCAGTGAGGAGTGGCAACGCTGCCTGCTTCTTTAAAGCTTTAAAACCGGTTACTTAGACACTGCCGACTGGTGACCGATGGGAAAGTACAGATATCCTTACTACGAAGGCGATATGACGTGCAGGTTGCCCAAAGAAGTGATGACGTAGAGGACACGCGATTTATTTGGGTTTAATGCCTACCGTTTTGGTCGAACGGGTTTATAAATTTCCCCTCTTAGGTAGCAGCAAAACTGCCAGAGTCCGATTTCGTCATCGCCATTTCTTTCGCAACAGTGAGCTGTTTTTAAAGACTTGCTTTTTCAATTTAAACTTCGTTTATGTCTGTTTTCCTCAAAATTTATATAAATTTGTATATTATTGCAGTGCTGCAGAACTTCCAAAAAATTAAAAAATTGCAGAAAAAAGATCATAATTAAATAGCGTAACTAATTTTTTTTATCGCCTTTATAACAGAAAACTGCAATGCAAAATCGAACAATGGAGCCAATTTATAATCCACAAGAGGTCAGGATGGGGAAGACTGTGAGCGAGATAGGGACATTTAAACACGGTACTAGAAGCCATATTTTTAACATTTACCGTTATAGTTTTCTCCGCTGAAACTAAGTCAGAAGTCAGAGAAAAGGTAAAGACAGGTTTTACCAGCATTAAAAATATCCTCGATTCGCTAAAACTAAGTTTAAATATTGCAAAAACACAACATATTGCCTATTCCTTGACAGAAGCCAGTCGATCACATTATAACGAAATCCTTGTAAACAATGTAAGGGAACCCCGCTATAAACGGCTATTCATAACATCTAAATTTTATCTATTACGAAAAATAATGTTAAGGAAAAATTTTGTTTTAATCTATGAAGCACCGGTGGTAGTAAATTATGATATACTGGTATGGGGAGGAGCACACCAACCAACCAAAAGTAATACAAAGTTATATTGCTATGTATAATTAGGAGTTTGTGTATAATAACTTTATGTAGTTTTGATCATTCAAATAAAAAACGTAACAATTTTATTTGTCACTATTAAAACGCGAGAGGAAATTTAAATAATTTATTTAATACTACATATTGCGAGAACAGTCAGGGAAAATATTTTGTATCATATATCGCCCCCAAATTAAATAATTATGATACCTGCTAATTTACGTAACATTAAAGAAAAAGAACGATTTAAAAAATTGTTCAAAAGTTATTTCGAATTGAATAACAAGTAGTATTTATTTCATAAAGACTACACTAAGTTAAACTCTTATGAGTGAACTAATTATACTTTTCAAGTTATCTTTTTTTTTAGAATAGGTTTCAATGTTTTCAAACCTTTTGTTGTGGCCTGATGATTGTTTATTGTTATTTAAACTAATATCTAAACCTCTGGGACGACAGAAGTCTGGACAATTATGCACATACAGCTATTATTATGCCGAATTAGCCATAACGATGTGAGGCATATATAATGGTGTAAGTGTAGAGTTATAGAATGGTATAATCGCTCTGTTGATGCCACCGAGATTTTCTTACATTACCACATATTACCAGTAGAGGAAAAAGTTATACATGGAAATTCAGTAAAAAAAATACTCATAAAATGAATAGCTTGGACGAAAATAACGGTTAAAATTGATGAGAATTCGAAAAGCCACATTTATAATTGTACGGAATTTGCGTTATTCGGGTTAACCGATATCAGGGCTTAATGAAATTCTGCTTGCTGTGTAAATATGCAGAAACATAATGAAAATGTGTCAGAGAATAGATATATTTCTAAGAATGCGGGGATATTTCCTGGAGTTATAATTTTTCCTCTGAACTTCGATTTTTAAGGGTACTTCCAAAGAAATTCAGAATGATCTGTTGCAATGTTGGAAATGTAGTATACGATAAGCCATTCTTTGTACAAATAAGGGTACATTTTTTAAATTTAACAAAAAGATAAACAGTTTGTATTATTAAAAAAAAAGCGTTTCCGACGTGTTTAAACTTATTAGATAAGTTTTCCAAAATGCAAAAATGGCTTTACGCTCCTTAGTATGTGGGATAATAGGGTGAAAACAACCACAGGTTATTGAAGTCAGTGAACTCATACTTTCATCACCCATGGAATAGTTTATTCTGGTTAGATATGAAATTTTGATTTCGATAAACCTCTAACCCAATATGCGGTGTTGTATCTGTCTCTTACTAGGAGGCTGGCCAGTCACCTGCAGAAACGACAATATTCCGATGTCAAATTGCCCATGGATAAACCACCAATGCCATCCAGCCGTACTCATGTGTAAAAATAGTCGAAGCATAAATACTTATTAGAGAAGTAACAAATTTATTTAAAAGTGATTTTTACGGCACCAAAATTCCTTTCCGGGCAATGATAGCTGATGGTTGGACGATCCGCCATAAAGGGCCTGCGGAACCGCTTTATGGCCACTTCTCAAAGCCTTCTTGATGTCTGTTTAGCCTTTACGGCAGCCCGGAGGCTTTATTACCCGCTCTTTATTGAATATTCCTTATTAAGTCCATAGCTTCAACGGCGAGTCAATTAGCTGGTCGAACTGGAGAATTGTTATTCTCATATTTTTACACGTCACGGTAAATTGCCTCCTGTACTAAAAATGTAAGTGGCCGTCGGTAAAACCTTAATTTGTCATCGCCTGTCAATACTCGCTTCGACCACAAAGGCGGTGACAAAGTGAGAAACGACATTTTCAGGACACGCTCGATGTCTCGCAAAGGAATCGAACGAACCGTTGCCATTTGTTATGTCAACTAAAAGCGATTTTGTTTTGTGTAAAGTGACTTGATGTTGACGGACGGCCTTTCGAATTTTGTTCGGAAACGAATAATCCATGTTTTGGCTCCTGGTTTTTACGAGCTTAATGAGCTTTCCGGTATAATTAGATGATAATGCGGTCGCTGGACAGCGTGAAAGTCTCAGCAGTTTTCACAGCAGGTGTTTTCAACGTGTTTTCAGCAAAAGCTGATGGTGTTCGACCGGGTTTTTGAACAAAGGCAAAGCTTCTGAACCGAATTATGGAGATTGTTAGGTTTAAAATTCGTTTGGATTTTTTTGTGTTGAACGATATTATTCTGGAAGAAAGTTTGAACCAAAAATCGTTGATTTGGTAACTGGGACTCACTATGGGCATCGAAAATTTTCATTCTGAATAGCAGACAAAGTATACTCACTACCAAATATTTGAAATAGATAGATCGATTTTTAAAAAATTTGGCTCATTTAAAATATTTATGATGATTTTCTTTTAAAGTTAATTCAACGAATGAATCAAATTTTGTGGTGGTGTGAAGTGAAACCAAGTTAACACAATTATTAAATTTTATTTCGGAACTATTGAGAAATTTTGTCCACGGAAAAACTAATTTATGCCACGTTACAGGGCAATAAGTTGTAATAAGTAAATTAATTAAATGAAATAATAAATTAAAATTAAATAAATAATTATCCACAAAATTACTCAGCTACTGCTTAAAGATGACCGAGGTTTTGACTTCCTTGAAATGATATTTTCCTGCAGTTACCTGCTCGAAATATTCAATGTTAATGCTAAATTTCTAATAAATATTTCTATTAGCTTATTAATTCGCATATTGTTACAAAAGTCACAATTGGGAATATTGATCTTATTACAAAAATTATTGTGTTTCTCACAGATAAAATGTACAAAAAATTATTTTTTGTAAAAGTTATTAATAATATATATATATATAAGTTAAATGAACCATAAAGGAAGCCATGAAAAATTAGGGTTTTCTTAATGAACTTATCGAAAACCATTCTTAATAGAATGGCAAACGTTGATTCTATTTGTAGTTTTCAATCAAATAAAAATTTCCTTAAAACAATTCAGTTTAACTAATTAATGAATAAGTGGTTACAAAAATTTCTATATAATTTATGTAAAATAAGAATTCTAACGTCACAATTGCTAATATTCATTTTATTACGAAAATTATTGAGGTTATCCCAAATAAAATGTAGAAAAAATTGTTTGTTGCAAAAATTAATCATTTTACAAATTATTAATAATTATTATAAGTTATATTAACGATGCCATGAAATATTTGGCTTCTCTTATCGAACTTATCGAAACCCATTCTTGATAGAAGGGTTAACGTTGATTCCATTTATAGTTTTAGTTAAAAATTAACAATAAATTTTGAGGTACGGGCCAAGGCGATTTCGATTTGTCAGTAACAACATTATAAAAAACGCATGACTACGAAATTAAGAATATATGTTTATTCAGTAGACAACGTAATTATAAAATCACATTCAAAGTACATATACAAAAATAAACAAATAAAAATTCTCCCTAAATTTTGCGGGATCACATTTCATTTAAGTTTGTACCACCTAATTAAGCTAATAAATGGTTACAGAAATTTAAAAATAATTTACTTGAATTACGAATTCCAACATAGATAACATAAAATTTTAAAACAAGCATGCAAATCTTACAGTTCTTATTTTTGTTTTTTTTTTAAT